ACATATATATGATGTATACACATGTATATCATATACATATATATGTCATATATACATACATATGCATATAATATTTATATCACATCTTTATCCATTCGTCGATTGATGGACACAGGTTGCTTCCATATCCTGGCTATTATAAATAATACTGCAGTGACAATAAGAGTACATATATCCTTTTGATTAATAGTTTCTTTTTTTCTTTTTCTTTTTTGTGTAATTACACAGAAGTAGACTTGCTGGATCATAAGGTATTCCTGTTTTCAGTCTTTGGAGGAACCTCCATACTGGTTTTCTACAGTGGCCACACCAGTTTACGTTCCCCGCAGCAGCGCATATGGGTTCTTCTTTCCCCACGTCCTTATCAACACTTGTTACTTCTTGTCTTTTTCATAATAGCCATTGTGGCAGGTGTGAGTTGTTCGCCCATCGTGGCTGTGATTTGCATTTCCCTGATGATCAGTGATGTTGCACATCTTTTCATGTGTCTGTTGGCCGTCTGGATGTCTGCTTTGGAAAATTGTTCAGCTTCTTTACCCATTTTTTTTTTTTTTGGTTTTTTTTTTTTTTTTTTTGGTGTTGAATTGTATGAGTTCTTTATATATTTTGAATATGAACTCCCGTTGGATATATCATTTGAAATATATTCTCACATTCAGTTTTGCCTTGTCATGTTGTTGATGGTCTCCTCTGCTGTGTAAAAGATTTTTAGCTTGATGTAGTTCCGAGTGTTTATTTTTGCTTTATTTCCTTTGCCAGAGGAGACAGACTCAGAAGAATATCACTGAGGCTGATGTCCAGGAGTTTACCACCCATGTCTTCTTTCAGGATTTTTTATGGTTCCAGGTTTTACATTTAGGTCTTTAATCCATTTTGAGTTTATCCCTTTTTCTTTATTTTTCATATGGTGTAAGAAAGTGGTCCGGTTTCATTCTTTTGCAGGTAGCTGTCCAGTTTTTCCAACACCATTTATTGAAGAGACTATCTTTTCACCATTAGATATCCTCACCTTCTTTGTTGTAGATTAACTGACCATATAGATGTGGGTCTATTTCTTGGCTCTCTATTCTGTTCCATTGATCTAGGTGTCTGTTTTTCTGCCAGTACCATACTGTTTTGATTACCATAGCTCTGTAGTAAAGCTTAAAATCTGGGACTGTGATACCTCTAGCTTTGTTCTTTCTCAAGATTGCTTTGGCTAATCGGGGTGTTTTTCAGTTCCACAAATCTTAGGGTTATTTGTTCTAGTTCTGTGACAAATACGATTGGTATTTTGACAGGTGTTGCATTGAATCTGCAGATTGTTTTGGGTAGTATGGACATCTTAACAATATTAACTCTCCCAATCAATGGGCATGTGATATCTTCCTATTTATTTGTGTCGTCTTCAATTGTTGTCATCAATGTCTTATAGTTTTCATAGTATAGGTCTTTCTCTTCCTTGGTTATATTTATTCCTAGGTATGTTATTCTTTTCAAGGCAATGGTAAATGGGATTGTTTTATTAATTTCTCTTCTGTTGGTTGTTAATGTATAGAAATGCAACAGATTTCTGTGTATTATTTTTGTAACCTGCAACATTACGGAATCATTTATTAGTTCAAATAGATTATTGGTAGTGTCTTCAGGGTTTTTCCTATATAGTATCATGTCACCTGAAAACAGCGATAGCTTACTTCTTTCTTACCAATGTGGATGCCTCTTAATTCCCTTATTTTATTCCCTTATTTATTTCTTGTCTGACTGCTGTGGCTAGGACTTCCAATACCAAATTGAACACAAATTATGAAAGTGAATATCCTTGTCTTGTTCCTGATCTTAGAGGGAAAGCTTTAAGCTTTTCACCACTGAGTATGATGTTTGTGGTGGGTTTGTCATATATGGCCTTCATTAATATTGAGGGATATTTCCTTCAAACCTACTTTGTTGAGGCTTTTTACCATGAATGGATGTTGAATTTTGCCAAATGCTTTTTGTGCATCTATTGAGATGATCCTATGATTTTTATCATTCATTTTGTTAATATGGTATATCACAATGATTGATTTGTGAGTATTGAACAAAGATTTTTAATCTTGAGAAAGCCCTTTTGTTCCTTCCCAACAGTTGATATTGAGACACAAGTGTTGCATGATATACGGCCACTTTTGTGGGTGTCAGGTGTTAAAGACCAAGGCAGCAAGTGAGATTCGATTTCCATACCAATCCAGGGAGTCCCAACTCTGACCAGCCTCCCCATCTCCCTCAATAACATGGTGGCATTCAAATGCATCATGCAATGTTTGATGACTAAAATGCTATTTTGAGGGAATCCCAAGAAAATACAACTGTGTTTATAGCCAAAGAAGAAGGCAGAAGGATGCTTTCAGAAACTAAACTGGAGGGAGTTTATCCTCAGGTATAGAAAGGAGAGTTCATCAGTGTTACCACAATTATTCAGGCATGTCAGAATAAAAAAGAACAAAAAAAAATTCCCCTGAACGAGTAGCAAATGACGACTAACACATCCTCACCATGACATAGGCAGGCATTCGGCTGACATGACCCAGTATCCGCATATGACACCCTTCTTGAATTTAATGATCCAGTTTAAGGGCTGACAAACATACTATTTTTCCAAGGGGCTAGCAACGGCCCTCCCTTTTCCTCCACCAAAGTAATTATTCCCCCAACTTGAAGCAATAGTAGTGAAAGCACTTTTTGTTTCTCCAATCCTCCAGTCGAACCCCCAGGCTAAGATTTTTTTGTAAGGCATTGTTCATGCACAGTGGCATAGAATTTCATTTGCCGGATTTCAAGTATTAAGAGCACAACACAAAATCTAAGCAATTTTAGACATGTGTCAATCTCAAATAAAAAAGGCTTTGTGCTGGCACAGGATGTCAATGCTTGAATTAAAGAGATGGAGAATTTCCCTGAGCGAGAGCTGTACATGCTGACACAATACATTGTTAAGATTCTGTGTTACGATACAACCAATATGTTTTAATAATTTATTGGTATTTATTTAACACACAATACTGTCATACGGAATCTAAACCAAGAGGTCTAGGTTCCTCATTGATTCGTGTTCATGGTTTTATCAGTATCATTAGATGCTTCCTTAGAAAAATCTCTCGTGGGTGATGAAATTACGAAAGGGTGTTTCCAAAACTTCATTAGGATAGCATTCTGATATCCCCTCCTGGAGACCCTCAATGGGAAATGTTGCTGGAAGGACTTAATTCAGCTTTGTCTTTTTTCCAATCTTTATCTATTGGACTTTATCTCCCGACGAAATCGCTGCTCTAGAAGTTAAATCTCATTTGAACACTTAGCCAAAATTTAGCCAGCTAAGAGAGTGCCACCACGAAACCTGCTGGATACGGAATCTAGGCTGAATTTTTCTGGACTGCCTTAATCATTAATTCATCGGCTTGAGGATTCATTCATCTTTACCTCACTGTTACTTAATGAGGATAATGGAGAGCATCAAAATCTAAAGGCTCATCCTTTTTTTAAAAGCGACTATTTGATAATTATTAATTAATAACAATGTCAACAATAACCTTAATTTCCAGGTATTTCCCCAGGAGATTTACATCTTAATTATACTTGCCATAAGGACAAATTAACTCCCCCAGAATTAAGCTTTGGTTTACAGTTTGCAAATCACAGGAGCAGGGAGAGGCTCTCTTCATGTAAAAATAATCAGACTTTTTTTTTTTTTTTTTTGAAAAGCCTCAAATGGCAGAGATGAAGAGAGAATAAATACGGCTGATGAGATTTAGTGTGACATCAGTAATTCTCAAAGGGACTCCCACACCATAGAGTGTGCTGGTGTGGATGCTCATTGCTTTTATGGAGGTGACAGGCCTGACCTGTCGGGTACTAGTAACACCCAGGACAGACTAGAAATGTCACAAACCACTAACAGTTACTACACAAGATATAAAAGCATCTGTCTAAAAGGAGTGGCTCTTCAAAACTGGCCTAAACCTGTTCTGAAATTCCTATTTCTTCAACAAGCCCATTGTCTTTCCTTATGGAACACAGAATTAATTCACCAAAATTAAAAAAAAAAAAAATCTCAGTGGCTAAGGTGCTATATAATCAGGACTGTATTTGTTTCTAAAGCTAGTTTGGGTTGAGTTTCTATCACATCGAGATACGACTAGTAGTTCCTCCTCTCCATGTGATAGAAGCTCAACCCAAACTATCTTTAGTATAAAAAAAATGGGGATGTTATTGACTCATATACATGAAAAGTCCAGGTACACAAGCTTCAGGCATAGCTGGATCCAGGCGCTCAAATAAATGGTGCTCAAATGATGCTGAGAACCTGTATCTGTGTCCCTCAGCTTCTCTGTCCCCTGAATTGGCTCCATTTCCAGGAAAGGTAATTTTTCCCTTTACGGGATTCCGAGGAGCACTGCACCTACCTATTATCAACTTTAAATCCAGTGGA